GATGCTGTATTGTCAGAAATACACTGAGGCATCTGGGGGAGAAAATCAGGGAAGCGGAACACTACCTCTGCACTGGCTGTGTGTGTAGGAAAAATCTGAAGGCCTCAAAGAGGTACATACAACTGGTAGGTCTGATGTTCAGCGACTGCTTAACAAGACGATCCTCTGCAAGCATTTGAGGACAAGAACAAAAAATTGTGAGTAACGCTAGTGTATACAAACTAGGAGTAATGAGACATAGCTAAAAAGAGAAAAATCAGTGTGGGATGGAAAGCTCTTCCAGAAACAGCCACACAATGTAAAACTCTCCCAAAGGCAAACACAAAAAAAAAGAGACAAACCAGAAGCAGAAAGAAACCATCAAGTACAGGGAAGAACAATATTCAAGTCAATAACAGCATGGATTAGACATAAGGAACAGGGCTCTTCCAGTTTTAGTTTTGGGGTTGGTTCATTAGAAGATCTGAATTGTGGGATAAGTATAAAAGGTTAAATCCTCTCCATGTTCACGCCTTATCAATCAGACTCACTGCTAACACAACACTGGGAGTCTCCGTCAATCACCGGGACTCTCTCAAGGAGCTGTGAGCCCTGCTGGCACAAAGGGCTCCTTGCCACTAGTTCTTAAAGATAAGCCAGCTCTTCTCCCACTACCACCGAGAAACACTTACTTGAATATCGTCACAAAAGTGGCTACTCTCCAGCTCCAGCGCCAGCCGTAGCGGATGAAACTCCTGAGCCCTGCCCGATGCGCTGATTGCTGTGGGGAGAGAGGAGACAGGTGACAGGTCACAGCCCTGCTCCTCCCCACCAGCACCACCAGCAATCTGGGGGACGTGCAATGGGTCATAGGACTGATGTCGCTTGGGAACGATCCCCTGACCCTTCGGGATGAAGTCGGCCATCTTCAGAGGAAAAGCCACTCACGTTTAACCCAGCCACCATCAGGAAAACCAGAATTCATCCCAGTTCTTAATGTCAATGGGTCTTTCTAGTCCCAGTGCTGAAAGACATCTGGGGAGACAGGGCAAGCTTTCTGAGGACAGTACGGGAGAGCAGCAAGGGGGGACAAACTAGAAACTAGTTCTCAATCATTACAAGTTTATAAGTATTAATAAATAGCTATCAACAAATAATAACCACAATAAATAAATAATAACCACCTACTTAAAATTTTAAGAGACCACCAAGCTCTGCAGTCTAGCACTGGTGCTTAAAAGTTGGGCAATAAGTGGCTTTTTAAAAGATGTGATAAACAGAAGCTTCAAAAAAATTAAAAATAATCCAGCTGACACTATGAAAGCAAATAAATTCTCTCTTCCAGTGCCCATGGTGTAAGTGCTTCGCCCAGGTGGAAGAAAGGCAGCAGCAGGACAGAGCAAAGCCAGGCACAGATACTTTGCAGGCTGCTATGTCAGGAGCACAGTAATCTAAATAGCAAACAATGTAAAATCAGGCAGATTTTTAAAGGTTTTTTTTTTCTAATACTCCAGTTAACCAACATTTTAATTGAAGAATGAACTCCCAGTACGTCTATAAAATGTCACAAATGTTCCCTGTTATGAGGTGCAGTGATAAGGTAAAAGAATTTTTAATGGTCTTAAAATAACTCACATTAATAAGATGACAACACGGGCTTGACGCTATGCAGTCCCTTGCCAACACACTAAAATTTGAGAGCCAAAGGACTGTTCAAGCCATGCTGAACCATTAGCCATTTAACAGAACCGTACACGCTGTCACCAACTTTTTCCGTAACTCAGGCCGGTTTCTCCGCAGGTGACCCCGCAGGACTCGGGGCCGGGGCACAGCTGACTGACACGCGGGGCGCCGAGGCAGCCTGGGCGCACCTACACGCGCGGCTCTTCTGCCACAACCGGCATCACTGCCGGGCCCACGCTCCGAGCTGCGCGTCACGCCTC